GTGTAAAACTTTATAAAACTTAAAAAAACACTATCGTCGCAATCCCCAAAACATTTGCAAAATTTTGGTGCTACCAATTTCGAAAAAAATCAGTCAATAAAGGTGGAGGTGTAAAACTTAAAAAAACCGCTATCATCGACATTTCCAAAAAATTTTCATAATTTTGATATAAATTTCGTGAAAAAGTCGATTAATAAATTTGTAAATGCGTAAGTGGATACGTGAGTGGGTTGGTGGAGTTGTAAAGCTTTAAAATAACATTTAAAAAATACATACACACATTTTTTCGGAAATGGTGACAATAATGGTTTTTGATACTGATTTTGAAAAAATCAGTCAATAAGTGTGTGAGTGCGTGGGTGGGTGAGTGGGGATGTAAAATTTAAAAAATTCATCATTATCGCCATTCCCGAAAAATTTGTAAAATTTGGATACAAATTTCACGAAAAAAAAATCAATTAATAAATTTGTAAATGCGTGGGTGAATACGTGGGTAGATTAGTAGGATTGTAAAAATTAAAAAATTCATATATAGTAGCCTCTAAAAATTTCAAACATTTTGGTACCGATCTAGAGAAAATCGGTCAATAAATTTGTAAGTGCGTAGGTGGGGGTGTAAAACGTAAAAAAATCGCCATCGTTATCATCCCCGAAAAATTTGCAAAATTTTGGTATTAATTTCGAGAGAATCGGTCCATTAATGAGGGAATGCGTGAATGGGTAGGTACGGTTGTTAAAATTTAAAAAATTATATAGCGACTGTCCTCTAAAAATTTCGAAAATTTTGGTACTGATTTTGAGAAAATTGATCAATTTTGTGAGTGCGTGGGTGGGAGTGTAAAACTTAAAAAAATTGTCATTGTCGTCATAAAAAAAAATTTACAAAATTTCGATACCAATTTCGAGAAAAAGTGGGGGTATAAAACTTAAAAAAACCACATTGTCACACTCCTTGAAAAATTTGCGAAATTTTGGTACTAATTTGGTTAAAATCGGTTCACAAATGTGGAAGTAGTTCGCGGTCAGACCACGGTCGTATACACAGGTCTGGAAACTCTTATGGTGGGGGTAAGGCTCTTAATGTCATGATTTGTGGTTCATAAATCGGTCGCTAACCTCAGAGCGCTGTGATCGCTGAGTAAAGAGCTTATAGCGGGGAGCACACACTCTTGCATAAGCGCATAAGCATATGCATAAAAAATTCGATTGGTTGAATTTCTTATGTACACGTTTATAGACCAATCAAGATTATTATGCTTACGTTTATGCGCCTATGCAAAAGTGTGTGCTTATAGTCTTAAACTCATTTACTAGCCTTTCAAAATGTTCTATAATGTTTATATAAATCAGTTTCTCTGACATTGCTTTTATCAAATCTTTTGAAATTAAAATCTCCATATTTAATATTTCACAAGTTTAATTTTTCTATTAAAAAATATATAACATCACATTATTGTTACAATATCAATATACATAGTAAAATATATCTTGGGGCGGCGGGTGGCCGTGCACGCTGCGTCACCGAAACTCGCCTGAGGCGAAGAGTAAGTGTAACGCAGGTTCGAATCCTACCCAGACCCCAAGTTCGTGATCATCTTCGCTACTTATAGTATTTTTATTTTTAAATGTCTCAGCATCAGTGATCTTTCCAGCATGTGATCGCTGTAATCGCTGAGTAAATACTAGAAAGCGACAAAGTAATGATCCATCAGAAACACTTCCAAACAAAAAACCAAAATATAGTTGTCGTTGCAAAAAGAATTGTCTATCGAAATTTTGCGGCTGCGTAAAACAAAAAATTTCTTGCAAAGCAATATGTAAATGTAATATTCAACTTTGTGAAAACAAGGTAATATTTATTGTTATTTACTGATTTATAAAATGTTTTTATCGTGAGTAGCATTTTTAAGCAACTCTACGTAGAAATTAATTTTATTTTACAGGATACACATGATAATACTGCACATGCTGGAAAGACCACTGATGCTGAGACATTTATAAATAAAAATACTATAAGTAACGAAGATGATCACGAACTTGGGGTCTGGGTGGGATTCGAACCTGCGTTACACTTACTCTTCGCCTCAGGCGAGTTTCGGTGACGCAGCGTGCATGGCTACCCGCCGCCCCAAGATATATTTTACTATGTATATTGATATTGTAACAATAATGTGATGTTATATATTTTTTAATAGAAGAATTAAACTTGTAAAATATTAAATATGGAGATTTTAATTTCAAAAGATTTGATAAAAGCAATGTCAGAGGAACTGATTTATATAAACATTATAGAACATTTTGAAAGGCTAGTAAATGAGTTTAAGAGTCTTCTTTTAAGTGAGTGATATTACATTTTGTATTATATTTCAAATTTCCAAATTATATTCTCATTCTCATGTATTATTCTAATGATATACCTTTTTTTTGCAACTTTGTCGAATAATACAAATTTTACAAGATTAATAAAAATGCATAAATTTATCTGTTCTGCACTTTATTTTTATAGTAAAAGATATATCGGAACTTATTGTAAATATAGAATCCTGAGAAGCTTGAACAATATTATATTGCTTAAGGGGAGTGTGATTTATTGATTTACATAATAGAAATTAGTCAATATATCCTCTGGAATCTTCAATACAGAGAATTATAGATAATATTTTGCACGAAGATTTTCATCTTTTGGCACTTGAAAAGTTGACCATTTTTCTATGCACTTATATTTATTTGTTGTACAATTCGGCACAACACATTCCGACGGCATTTTAATAAAATTTTAATTAAATAGATATGACATATGATATATATGACATATGAGTTATGATATAGTCATTTAAAAAAGAAAGAACTCTTACTATGCGATCACAGTGCCATACGGCTAGCGGTTAACTCAAGAAACTTTTGACATTCATTAAGAGCCTTACCCCCACCATGAGAGTTTCCAGACCTGTGTATACGACCGTGGGTCAGACGGACGATACTTATAATATACTAGCTTTTCGGACCGCGCGAAGCGCGGTCCTAATATAGTCTTTATAAAACTTTATTTAATATAAAAGAGATAGTTCTTTTGTTTTAAATATTTTATTTCGCAAAAATAAGCACCGTCTGTCTGTATGTCTGTCTGACCGCGAAAATATTTATACAGATATAATTAGATATATTATGCAATCAAAATATTTATTAAAAAATAAAAAAATTTAAAATTAATTAATTATTATTAATTTTTATTTTCCGTTTCTAAATTCTTCAATTTCTCTTTGTCTTGCTGACATTTCGTCCGTGCTGCTATGCTCATCATATAACTTATATCACTCCAATTTTTTTTCGTAAAAACATAGCCTTCTTTATGTTAAAAAAAATTAAAATCCCACCATCTCATCACACTCCCCAAAAATTTTGCAACTTATATATATAGATATATAGATATAAATATTGTAGGCCAACCAAACGAGCAAAATTACAAGATATAAAGATTTATTAATAATTAAATTCTCATTCCATTAGAGAAACAATATACAACGTAAACGTTTCGACTGCACTACAGTCTTCTTCAATACATAAAACTTAATGTATACTCAAACTTAATAATACTCAAACATTAATGTAAGTTGAAAGATTTTTCAATTTTTCTCTGATATTAATTAATTCGCGTAAAATCTCCACAGCATGATTAAATGTCGCAAAACTTGAAATCTCAGACTAATCGTCTTACTTATCCATTGTTCATTAGCGAAGAATCGTTAACTTTGTATTTTAATATTTAAGTTTTATGTATTGAAGAAGACTGTAGTGCAGTCGAAACGTTTACGTTGTATATTGTTTCTCTAATGGAATGAGAATTTAATTATTAATAAATCTTTATATCTTGTAATTTTGCTCGTTTAGTTGGCCTACAATATTTATTTCTTTTAATTTCGTTAATTTATACGAGCCTTTCATTAATTAATTTTATATAGATATAAATAGATATCCAATTTCGAGAAAATGAATTAATAAATGTATGAATGCGTGGGTGGATGCGTATGTAGTATTGTAAAACTTAAAAAAACAACACATAGTAGTGATCCCCGAAAAATATGCAAAATTTTGGTACCAATTTCGAGAAAATCTGTCTATAAATGTGTTGGTGCGTGGGTGGTTGCGTAAGTGTGTGAATAGGGTGATAAAAATAAAAGAAAACACATATTATCGATCCCTGTAAAATATTCGAAATTTTGGTACCAATTTCATGAAAATCCGTTTATAAATTTGTTGATGCGTGGGTGGTTGCGTGGATGAGTGAATAGGGTGTTAAAAATTTTTTAAAATCATATATTAACCATCCCCGACAAATTTACAAAATTTTAGTACAAATTTGTGAATAAATGTGTGAATGCATGGGCGGATGCGTGATTGGAATAAAACTTAAAAAAACCACACAATAGCTTTCTATTAAAAATTTGTAACATTTTGATACCAATTTCGTGAAAATCAGTCAATAAATGCGTATGCACATAGGTGGATACGTGGATGGGTGCGTGGGCGGGTGAATAAGGTGATAAAAATTTTTTAAAATCATATAGTAGCCATCCCCGACAAAATTTGAGTACAAATTTCGAAAAAGTCTGTGAATAAATGTGTGAATGCGTGGGTGGATGCGTGGGTGAAGGTGTAACACTTGAAAAAACCACATTGTCGCCATCTTCAAAAAATTTGCAACATTTTGATACCAATTAAAAAAAAATCGGTCCATAAATATGCGATTGCGTGAGTGGGAGCGTGGGTGGAAGCGTAAAACTTACAAGAAAGTACCATCGTCACACTCCTCGGAAAATTTGTGAAATTTTGGTACCAATTTGATAAAAATCGGTCCACAAATGTGGAAGTAGTTCGCGGTCAGACAGACAGACAAACAGACGGACGGTGCTTATATATATAGATAGATAGAGTATGTGCGTGTGCGTGTGCGTGCGCGCGTGTGTGTCGGTGTATAGTGCACCTACACACTTGCCACTAACCAGTATAATAGACAGTTTTGCGAGACACATTATACGTTGCCTTCGGTATACTGAGTAAACATTTGACAATTGTTGCTTCCGGTAAATCTTCATCCAATAAGGCAACGCGTGATAAAATATTATACAGTCCATCCTCACGCAACGTTACGGTGGGATTTCCAATTTGCTCTTCTGGAATATCTCTGCAATGACACAAATGTATTATAATAATAAATACAAGTTAAATGTGTAACGGGGCTCCTTTCCCGACGCCACGGATCGGCTCGTCGGTGCCAGGATTCGGGAAGAGGGGGAGACTCAGGTTCGCAATAACCACGCCAATCGTTCTGGTAAAAACAGAGTTTATTGAAGCCACCCTTCGAGAGTTGACTTATTATCTAGTCTACGCGTACAGAGGGGAATCGCAGGAAGTGCGGACCGCGACCAACTTATACGGACGCGGACACGATTTATAACTAAGGAATACAAGTAATGCAACGGACGAAGCGTGACCAAATCATACGGACGTGGACACGACTTATAACTAAGGTTTACAAATAATAACGCGACGGACGAAACGCGACCAAATCATACGGACGCGGGCACGACTTATAACCAAGGTTTACAAATAATAACGCGACGGACGAAACGCGACCAAATCATACGGACGCGGACACTACTTATAACTAAGGTTTACAAATAATAACGCGACGGGTGAAACGCGACCAAATCATACGGACGCGGACACGACTTATAACTAAGATAGTAGCGCGGCGGACGAAATTTACCCAACGCGGCGTGGATACGAGCGCCCTGAAAAGGGCGAGCTCCGTAAACCGCCTTGATTCGGGCGCCCTGAGAAGGGCGAGCTCCGTAAGATGTCGGTGACTCTCGGAGGATCCGGTGACCGAGGAAACTCGGCCTTCCCGACGAGAACGCTCGTCGGCCGGGGTGATGTTCGGAGAGGATCCGGTGACCGAGGAAACTCGGCCTTCCCGACGAGAACGCTCGTCGGCCGGGGTGATGTTCGGAGAGGATCCGGTGACCGAGGACGCTCGGCCTGCCCGACGAGAACGCTCGTCGACCGGGGTGATGTTCGGAGAGGATCCGGGGACCGAGAATGCTCGGCCTGCCCGACGAGAACGCTCGTCGACCGGGGTGATGTTCGGAGAGGATCCGGTGACCGAGGAAACTCGGCCTTCCCGACGAGAACGCTCGTCGACCGGGGTGATGTTCGGAGAGGATCCGGTGACCGAGGACGCTCGGCCTGCCCGACGAGAACGCTCGTCGACCGGGGTGATGTTCGGAGAGGATCCGGTGACCGAGAACACTCGGCTTACCCGACGAGAACGCTCGTCGCCCGGATGGCTAGGAGGTGAGGAGTGGTCCTTGAGTACGCTCAAGAGACCAGGACGGGACTCTTCGAAGTCTCGGCTGTACCGCCTTATATACCCGTCGGTCAGCCCCCTCCAACTAGCTTGGAGTGGGGCGGTTCGGTCGGATGGGGCGAAAAGGCAAATTCCCACGTGTTCGACGTGTGGTGGCCCCGACAGGGGCCGTTTGTATGAGTGCGGGCGGGCGGTCGGCCTCGCGCTTGCGCGGCTTCTAGTGACGACAAAACGGGTCGTCACATCACCCTCCCTTTTTTACGGGTGGTGAGGCAGTTGGCGGATCATCCGTGGCTGACCACGCCGATTGAATCGGATGATCCAGCGGCCGTCCGGGGTGCGCACTTTATATCGCCGCGAGATGGTGGCGGCGTAGAACGGAACGTCGACCGTTCGTCCGTTCCCCAGGGTAACCTGCACGGGGTGCGGTTGGCCCACCGCTGTAGGGGGCGCCGGTCGTTGCGCGATGGTCGGCGGCACGGCGGTGGAGGGTGCCGGTGGACGCGTGGTCGATCGGTACGCGGCGTCTGATCGTCTGCCGTCACCGTGCGAGGACGGTGAGATCGTCGTTGGTTCGACTGTCGGGTTATCCGATCATCCGCGTCTGATGGCGCCGACCGAGGTGTGCCGGTCGGGGGTTGGCGCGACTTTGTAGCTGGTCGCCCGGCGGTGCTAGATGCTGGCTGGCCTCCCGCTCCAGGGGCATCGGTCGCCGCACGGTGGCCGTTAGCCCGGCCGTGGAGGGCGCCGGTTGGTGCGCGATGGTGGCATGATGCGTTGATCGATGGTCGGTCGTGATGGTGGTCGCTGGGCGGCGTGCGTCGGTCGGTGTCGTCGTAGGCTTGGTGGCGGCGGCGATGGTGATGACGGCGGAGGCTGGAGAGTCCAAGAGGACCGGTGGTCGTCGGCGGTGGCTCGGGGGTGGCGGGGGTGCTGCGAGAAACGCCATTTTCCGGCGCCGTTGTTCCACGTCGGACCGTTGGATGTAGGTCCCCACCCGAGGCACCGGCCGGTCGGTTCGTCCGGAGACGGACGGGTTGTTTCGTCCGGAAACGGACGGATTGTCTTGCCCGGAATCGGACGGTTTGTCTTTTTGACCCTGGTTCGCTTTTGGGCTTCCCATCGTGGCGAGGATAGACTCGGGGCTGAGAGCGCCCGTCTTTTATACCTCTCCGGAGTATAGCGCGGACCGCGGAGAGTGCCGCTCTCGGTGTTCGGCCGGACAGCCACACGAAAAAAAAAAGCGCGGACCATGAAGAGTGCCGCTCTCGGTGCTCGGTCGGGAAATCGCGAACGTGTAGCGAAAAAGCGCGGACCATGACGAGTGCCGCTCTCGGTGCTCGGTCGGGAACTCGCGAACGTGTAGCGGAAGAGCGCGGGCCATGAAGAGTGCCCTCCTACGGTTCGTCCGCGGGCGGCGGTTCTGAGGCTGGCTTCAAATCTCGGACGTGGACATGTCGGTGCCATCGACCTCGGTCGTCCTTCAGGTCCATGATGACGGGGGAGATGATGCGGCCAACCGTCATCGGGCCACCAAATCTTGGTGCCAGCTTGGCATTAAAGCCCCGCTCTTTGTTCGATAGCGGGTGTTCCTTCTTCCACACCCGGTCCCCAATTTTTGGACGCCAGTCACGCCTGCGCAAGTCGTAATTTCGCTGCTGGTGTTGGAACGCGCGAGCCAGGTTGATCCTGACGATTTCGTAGGCGTCTTCGAGGCGGCGTCGGACTGCTCCGGGGGCGGCGTTGGCGGTTGCCGGACGTCGGTCGTCAGGGTACGGCGACTGTAGCTCCCGGCCGTATATCAGGAAGGCCGGGGTATATCCCGTGGATTCTTGCCGCGCGGTATTGAAAGCAAACTGGAGCTGGGAGATGTGCTCATCCCAGCGACGGTGCCGGCCCTCCACGTATTGCGCCACCATAGTTTTTATGGTGCGGTTGGCTCTCTCGACCGGGTTGCACTGTGGTGCGTAGGCGGGAGCGGTCTGGTGATTGATCCCGAAGGATCTTAACAACCCTTCGAGCTGGTGCGATCGCAACTGAGTCCCGTTATCAGAGATGATGGTGTCCGGGCAACCATGGCGATATATTATGCGCCCGGCGACTTCTCGTGTGACGTTGGCGGCGGTGGCCTGGCGGAGGGGTGTCATCTCCACCCACTTTGAGAACCGGTCCTGCATGGTTAGCAGCCAGGTATGCCCACTGGTCGACCGTGGCAATGGTCCGACCAGGTCAATCGAGACTTGTTGCCACGGATGCGTGACATTGGTGGCCCGAAGTTTCCCGGCTGGCAGGGTTTGTGCGGCTTTATGGGTGGCGCAGTTCCGGCAGTCACGGACGTATCGAGTGACGTCGCGGAACATTCCTGGCCAATAATATAAGCGGGCCACCCGTGCGATGGTCTTTGTGATTCCGAAGTGTCCGGCGGTCGGGTCGTCATGTAGCCGGCGTAGTATTTCCGCTCGTTGGGGCCTCGGGACGCATTGCTTCCATTGCTCCTCACTGGGCGAGTCGTGAAAGTTGAGATCATGCAGCAGGTGCCGAAATAGCCGGCGGTTCTGTATCCGGTAGTCCGCATGGTCGGCCGGGTGTTGTTGCACCTCGCGATACATGCGACGGTACCACCGACAATCTGGGGCGGTCTGGAGGACACAGGCCTCGGGTTGACGGGAGAGAGCGTCGGCTACGATGTTCAGTTTTCCTTTTCTATACTGAATCTCGTAATCGTACTGCTGGAGCTCGAACACCCATCTCCCTAGGCGGCCGGTGGGAGCCTCCAAACGTTGCAACCATCGGAGCGACTGGTGATCGGTGACGACCGTGAAGTGATAGCCCTCTAGATAGTCGCGCATTCGGCGAATTCCCCAAACCACCGCCAGGCACTCCAATTCTGTAGCGCTGTAGTTTCTTTCGGCGTTATTTAGGGTGCGACTGGCGTAGGCAATGACGCGTTCGCCTTCGGGCAGTTCTTGGGTGAGTACAGCCCCGAGCCCACAAGCGCTGGCGTCGGTCTGGAGGGTAAACGGTCGGCTGAAGTCGGGACAGGCCAGAACCGGCGCGGTGGTGAGTGCCCGCTTCAGCTCGTCGAACGCCTTCTCTTCCTCCGGTCCCCAAGTAAAGCGTGCCCTTTTATGGGTCAGGCGTGTCAATGGTGCGGCGGTGGCGGAAAAGTCTGGTACAAAGCGACGGTACCAGGAGGCGACTCCAAGGAATTGGCGCACTTGACGGACAGTGGTAGGTGCTGTCCAGGCGGCCACTGCACTGACCTTATCTGGGTCAGTTCGAATGCCGTCTTTGTCCACTATATGCCCCAAGTATTTGAGGCGACTGCAACAGAAGTGGCACTTCTGTGGGTTGAGGCGGAGGCGCGCTTGTCGTAGCCGTCTGAAGACTTCGGCCAGGTGTTCCATATGAGCCTCTAATGAAGGACTGACTACGATGATGTCGTCGAGATAGACCAATACATTGGGCTCCAATTCTGGGCCGAGGACGCTGTCCAGCAACCGCTGGAACGTGGCCGGTGCTGAGTGCAACCCAAAGGGCATGACTCTAAATTGATAGAGTCCTCGCCCGGGAATCGTAAAGGCGGTGGCGGGGCGGCTGGCCGAGTCTAGTGGCACCTGCCAATATCCGTCTTTCAAGTCCAATGTAGATAGATACTGGGCCCCACGGAGCTTGTCGAGCGTAGCGAGGATGTGCGGCAGTGGGTAGGCGTCCTTATCAGAAGCTTGGTTCAGTTTGCGGTAATCAACGCAGAACCGGTGGCCCCCATCTTTCTTTTTTACGAGGACCACGGGGGAACTCCAGGCACTGCTGGA